CTCGTCTCGGCCCCCGGCCAACATATAAGAGATAAGGTTCTAAATGGTTCTAACACTTTAAAATGTTTTACCAGGATCAGCAGAACCGGCCTGCAAATCAGCCAAGCATGCCTTCATGACGTTTTTCCTTCGCCTGGCTTTGCTCGGCGACGTCAACGCCCTCCAGATTGCAAAGCACGGGCGCGATGCATTAGTGCCCTCCTACAAGGCACAAAGCAATTTTCCAAGGCTGTGAGGCACGGGCGTAGAAGGAAAGCTTAAGCAGCCTGACCTGTCTACCACCCTTGAGGAACGTCCTTCCCGCATCCAGAACGGTCTTGCCCAATGATCGTCTGCAAAGCCGCATAGCTCAAAGGCAGCGCGGTCTTGTCGCAGCTGGAAGTCTCGCTTCATGCGTCCAATGCTGCCGAGTCTTGGGAGCGTTCGCATCTCAGCCTTCCCGCGGAACTATGACGTTGATGTAGAGGATGTGGAGAGCGAGCCTGACCTCGATGTGGTTCCGGCCTCTTCCTCCGAGTTATGACTGCTAGATGATGACTCCGAGGGCAGGCGCCGTCTCAATCGCTTGCCCACATCCATCTTGTCATTCGAGCTCTTTGGCCTCTTGCTTGCAGGAAGAGACTTAGTTTCTGCGGCGCCCTGCTCTCTTGCGCGCATTGTCGCAACCAGCGGTGCAAACACTGAAAGAGTAGGTTGCGACCTTGGCTGGGGGGCTTGGGCAGAATGCATGATCGAACAACGTTGCTCTCAGATGACATGACTTGATAACAGAAGCAAGCATTTCCTGATGCCAAGCATCGCAGTTTTGCTTTCCTGCAAACCGGATAACATTCAGGTTGTGCAAAAGAGCCAGTTGTACCGATTTAGGTACAACAGTGTAAAGATTTTTCTTCCCTCACTTTCAAAAGCTAAGGCACCGAGGCCTCATCAGCATCGACTTTCCTGATCAGCTTCCTTCGGCAAAAGAACAAGTCGAACCAAGTGACGCTCCTGCACGCATCCTTCTCAGATACATTCGCAGAAATCGGCTTAGTAGGATGCTGGCAGACTAAAGTGAATCGCGCAATGGGAAAAACTGCGATGCGAGTCGGCAAACTTTGCATGCGCACGATGCCATTCTGTAGATTGAACAGAGCTGTTGAGCGCCTTGGAGCACGCTTCTTGATGTCAAGGCGGCAAGTGCCATCCTTGGGCAGCTTGAGGTTGCAGGACATGAAAACATGCACCGGCTTCAGCCTCGTTGTGAGCAAGAACTGTAGCTGAGACCCATCGTTCGACCTAATCCAGCATCAGACGTCTTAGCAGAGCTTGGGATCTAGGCGGCTGAGCAAGCAACTGTGGTGCTCCAGTACTGAACCTTCGAGCCAATTTGCAGCTTGTCCTTCGTCGAAACTGGGACAAACAAGGCAAATCCGTGTTGAGCCAGGCTGTGTTCAAGACGGTCCTCTGACACGGGGCTCACTTTTTTTGGAAGTTCCTGTCACAGGAACTTGTATGGCCAAGCCTACTTGATCTGGAGCAGTCCTCTTGAAAGGGGTTGAAGGTCATCTCAAGTATCTGACAACGGACACCAAAGTTTAAACAGGCACGCAAAAATGATTCAGATGTCATCGCCTTCCATCTCTGGAGGCTTCCATTCGGCAGCGTGTGATTAACGAGGCTCTCCTGCCAGTACATGTTAGTAAGAACAGAAGGCGCCTTATTGCTCGGCGTGCTCAACGGATTGCCTGCACTGTTACTCTGCCGCCCACTGTCTCATCATTTTTGTCAAAGTACGGCACCAGGCCTGCTGACTACGAGGAAGTAGACATCTGACTGCGTGACTGGTTGACTTGCGCACGGCCTTCTGCTGTCAGCTGCAAAAGACATCCTGGTCGGGTTACCTGCACAGAATCAGAAGCATTCTCCGCACGCCAGCCGTAGATATATAAGTAAGTGGTGATAGCAGACGCCCATGTTGTGATGATATGCGAAAAACCAGCGGAAGGCAGCCATCAACATCCACCCTCAAAGTGTCAGAGTACGGAGCTCTTGGCTTCTTCTCCAGACGTGGTGCCAAGAAGGCGGACGCAAAAGGTCTGGGCACCACGACTTTGCTGTTTCTTTTACCCTAAACCCTATCTGGCTCGCTTCATGTTAAGAAAGCTTTGCACTGTGTCTAGATCATGAAGCCCTCTTATCAATCCATCTCTTGATGACTTGTGAAGCGCTCAATGCACTGTCTAGTGTTACAAATAGTATGGCTTCATTATTACTATCATTCTTCTTTTCATGATCTGTGCTGGTAATACTCTTACTACTAGTATTGTTACTACTTGTCTCGTTGTTTTTATTAGTAGTATCGTTTATCTGCTTAGTCTGGTTTAGGGCTTACGGTTTCGAGTTGACGTTTCAGGTTTGGAGTGTAGGGTTTAGGGGTCTATGTTCTAGCGTTCGGGATCAAGGGTTGAGGGTGTTGGGTTTGAGGCTTTAGGCTCAGAGTTCAAGGTTTCCAGCTTCGGATCAAGGGTTGACAGAGTAGGGTGTCGGGGTTTAGGGTTTAGAGCATAGGCTTCAGGTGTTGAGGGTGCAGGGCTTCAAGTTTAGGATCCGGTCCCGGGGTTTGGGGTTCAGAGTTTAGGCTCACTTGTTGAAGCAGTCCCCAGAACTCGCTAGGCTCAGTACACGCACAAGTAATTAGGGATATTGAATGTAGGCCACTTGAGTTGGGATTCCACTAGCATGTACTCCCACAGAGTTTTTCAGATATCTAGGGTTTTGACTTTGCTCGGGGTTCTGCTGCTGTTAACTACATTTGAATTTATTGGGATCCTATCTGGCATGATTCAAAAACCGGGCCCAGCCTGCCCGACAGCTGCCTCAAAGGATACCTCATCGGCCTGTGGGCTTCGGTTTAGGGTTTTAGGGAGTTTGGTGTCGACTGTTCAGGCTCTGGCGTTTAGAGTGTGGAACTAAGGGTTAACGGTTAACGGGTTTAGCGCTTGGCGTGGTTGACAGCCAAGGGTCAATCGAAGTCGGTCCGTTGTTGGGGGAGTCCTGACAATCTGAAATTTTGGGCTATACGAGAGAGGCCGATCTCCGAGAAGAGGAGACAAAGCTGATGGAAAAACTTGCATATGCCTGGGGTCTGATGTGTGCTTCGCTTGCACAGTTGCACAACCCAGTCTACTTTACAAATTGATTCCTTGTGCATGGTAGTATTGCCACCATACTTCATGGGGTTTAGACCCACAGTACTCGCAGACTCTACTATCATGATTCTTGTGGATTGACGTCTCATTCGTCGTGATTGTTGATCGTCTGAGCCTGCAGTGATTTAGGAGGTGGTGTCGGCAGCATGGACGAGTCATATAGGGATGTAATTCTTGGGTTTTGCATCCACTTCGGGGATCCAGTTGACAAGTGCGGCCCGCCGCCCACGTCCCTCTCAAATCTCTCAACATACCCCTCCGTCACAGAGTTCAAGGGGAGATTAGGCAAATGTGGGCGACAAGCAACGGGGAAACATATCAATAACATACGCACGCCTCATGAGGAGCACGATTGCATGAGTGTCCAAGCTCGCGTGCCAAGCGGAAAGTGTGCACAACACTGCAGCGCCGAAGGCATGCATGAGGCGCCAAAGATCCCCACATCCAACCAAAAACGAAGAAGGACAACTCGTGTGCCAAGGGCAGAGGGAGCACAACAAGACTCATCTTATTTGCTAGGAATCGGAAGCTGAAAGCTGTCACTAAGTCTTACACCCCTACATTTTGTGAACTCTGAAACGGAGTTTGTTTGAATTGCCAAGTATAGGAAGTGGCTCACTTTGGCCAGAAACTGCGTTTCTTTCCTGCCCTCTGTTGTTCACCCTTCGCGGGCCACTGTATCAGAGAAGGCTACAATTACATCAAAGGCTTCCGTGCCAGCAACACGCAGCACTTCTGGAGTACCACTCTCAAACATTCTGAGAATCTGAATTGCTTATGGCTTCCTTGTGAAGACTCACCATGCTGGAGAGGAATGAGGCTCGAGGGCCGCCAAGCCTTCTGACAGAGTTACAATAGGGTTATAACGGGCTTGTCAAGGGAATAAAATATGCTACTTCCTTCCGGGGTCCCTCATAGCATTCCAAATTTCAATTCTCAGCACAGCATGCAAGTCTGTTGGGTGGGACACCTTGGCGAATTCTAGACAACTGAGTCCCGAACACTTGCCAAGAACATCAAAACACCAGAGGTTCGTAAATGCTTCTTTCATGAAGCATATACTCCGAGATGCTTGCAAGTGGATGGCTGCACCAAATGACAGATAGGCAGGAGAGGATCAAAGGTTCATCCGTACTTCGTCAACCGCTTCCTAACCCACTGAAGCATGTTCTTTTAAAAGCACCCTGGGCCTTGATGCCCTGAAGCCCGCGCAGAGTTGCGAGGCTGCGGCACAAGGTGCTGGCCTCAGGCGCGACTTCGAGAGAAAGTGAGGAATCCTAAAGAATAGAATCACTAATACTATTATTGTTGTATAATACTGAGAATAAAAGTAATTAAAGTAACATAACTTTCCATCTTGAGACTGTAATGTACATATGCATCACAGGATAGCATAGCGCAGCGTCATTTTTTGTCGCAGTGGTGGCAGTGGTAGCGGCAGTAATGCTGTTCCGTGATGGTGACTGCGGTGGAAGGAAGAGCGAACAATAGTGGGCACGGAAGAAGCAAATTCACAAGGTCATGCACTGAAATGTGAATATGGGTTTCAGTGGGTGGGCAAATAAATCAAATAACGTTCATGCAACGTGCCAATAGACCGGAAGTGCTCGCACATCTCGGACCTTTGAGTCTGGGGAATTCGTATCCAGTTAGGGCAAGTGTGACTAGCCATTCAGTATGGGCTCAGGCTGCTGCGATTGACGAAGCCTGACCTTAGAAGCCATGACAAATCTTTGTGCCTAGCCTTCAAAACTCAGGCTCATGAGCCCATCATGAAGCCTCATGGGCTGAGACTCGCTCATCCAATGGGCGGGCCCAGGATCTTTGCAAATCGCTGCCCAGCAAAGAGCCACACCTGCTTGCTTCTCTCAGCTCGCACCAGTTGCTTTTCCAAATCTGCAGAGCTGCGTGCCCCCCATTGGTTCGGAGTTTCAGACAGGAGCCTTTGCGACAGCACTTAGCAACTTGCAACATACAGACATGGAATGGCTTTGGGCTAAGGTAAGAACTCCAGGGCTACTCTTCCGTCTCCAAGGAGCTTCTCCCAGCCTGCAAGCAGCAGCTTAGTAGAGTTTAGCAACAGCAAGGCTGGAGACAGGCTGCAGCATGAACAGTTTTTTCTGTTGCTGAGGATGTGACCTTTCTCCGTTTCCTCCAGGGTCTCTCCATAAAAGCTGCGAGGAGGCTGAAAGTTCACCACCTGATTGCTTGGGTCGCTCGGGTCAAGGCTGCACAGTATTACTATTTTCGCTATTATTGCTACCATTACCATTATTCCTGTTGTGACCAACATGACAACTATGACTACCATTACTATTCTGACTATTATTACTATTGCTTACAATCTGCCCTGAGCAAACTGCCGTATGTCGTTGCAAGCCGCTCTGGCCCCCCACGACGGTACCGCCACGGGATGCCTGCCGATTACAAATCTTGAGACATCCCTGTTCTCTGGCAACTTTTGTGGGGGCACCTTGAAGCACTGGTGTCCACCGCTCACCTGCCATGATCAGAGACAAAGGGCACATCACTCAAATGTTGCATACGCCTTGAGTTCCGTAGGCCCTGCGACCCTTCCGACCGCGGCCGGGCCCAACTCCACGAAGAAGCCGGCAATCTGAAGCCTGACATGTACGCGAATTTCCCGGAAGCACAGCTCCTTCGACTATCTTCGGTCATCTTCACGTCTTAGGCCTCAGGAATCCGAGAGGCGAGGTGCTGCCACCACGCCACCAAGCGCCCGCATGCTCGGCTGGCCTTACAACAAGTGCAGTCCAGGCACGTTGCAGTTGTGGAGGTGGCAATGTGCATGAAGTGATGGAATCCATGGCAATCAATTTCAGCTCTGGCAAACACTCTTTTTCCTTTGATCCGTCTAATCGACAAGTCGATCTGCCAGGAGACTGTTAGCTGCTGTGTTGGTATCGCCACCAGCTGCCTGCAGCAAGCTGTCTGAAGAGAGGCCCCGCACAAACTAAGCCCATTCCACGAGCCTCAAGAGCAGCGGCAGAAGCGTCTCGCGCGAACCCCATGGAGGTCAGCAGCTCCACCTGTCCAGGACCGTGTAAGCTGGAATGAAAGCTCTTTGGTTGACAGCTGCTTCAGCCGTGGCAACACGAAATGTCAACATGATTGAATATGGCTGCAACTGTCAGTATTGACTCGACATTCCACAAACAAAGGATTGCAACGCTCACAGCATTGAGCAGCAAACTTCTGTTCGGAACTTGTTCAATTCAAAAGCCCGGAAAGGGCAACAATAACCTGTGAACGGCCAACACTCGAGGTCCAGCGGCAGAAACAAAACCTCAGCACTCGAAGCCCCACAACGGCATGCCCTTGCTTGACAAAGTAACGAAAGCATACGCACGAGCAACATCGCTGACCTGCGCTAGGAGACCTGAGGAGGCCCGCATCAGCAGCATCACGAGCCCATGTCTTTCCCTCAGGATCGCCGGGTGTCCCCAAAATTACTCACCCAGTGGTAATCAAGGGGTTTCCGAAGAAGCCGCAGGGGCCTGCAGGGGCCCATCAGAGGTCCCCGGTTTCCCAAAACGGAATGGCCCCAAAAAACCAGACCCACCCTTCCCATCCTCACACATAGTTTGGAAATGAATGCACGAAACTTCTTCTCATGTCAAATGTGGAGCTTTCATGATACCACTGCCATCCAGAAATCTGGCCTTGCGAAGAGTCTGATCCATGTCGCTCGCAGCAGACTTGCAATCGCCAAGGCCTCAAGAAAGACAGGATTAAGGTCATGATAAAGGCATGGTATTGCCAGATAAGGCCTGTGGTCTCTTGCGCGATGTTCACCTGCACCCCGCCCACAGGCAGCAGAAGGCGCAACCACATGTGGTGCTTGGCATGTGGGTGCTGCAATGCACAGCATGTAGTTTCATGCGAGCTATAGTCTAAACTCCTAGCCTCCCCGTTCATAAACCCTGTAATAGTCCCTGTATATAAACCCCAGAAAAACCCTTTGAGGAGTTTAGACTATAGCTCACGTAGTTGCAGTGCCAGAGACGCCCACATTTTTCCTCCGATCAGCCATTGCTATTTTCCGTCTCAGGACGAGGGCTGAGCGAGCAGATAGTGGCTGCCATCCTCTGTCTCGCCACCAGTCCTCACAGGCCAAGGAGTAGCCATAAAAACGATTCTAATCTTGCTTGAGCCACGCAAATGTGGACAAACTCACAGCGCGTGCCTCACCGTAGTCTATGAGTACCTCCTGGCGTAATTGTGTAGTCAGTGTCGCACAACAGGAACGAACAAGTTCACACCATCTGGCCTCATCTGACGAGATGTCACGCAGGGCGCGGAAGATGATGCAAGGCTGATTGTCGAGTTGAACCTTTTGCATCATTCTGGAGAGTAGTGCCAAAGCACCTCACGCACTTAGCCAATGCAAGCAAGGCAGCGCGGTAAGAAGCATTGCAGTCGCCCTCAACGCCATGGTTGTAAGCCAAGCCTGGGCATGTGCAATTGCTGCTAATCACGAGAAATCTCAAGGTGCAGCCACCAACTAGTAGTAAGCACGATGCGACAGAACAATGGTTGACAGCCCCAGGCCCAAGACTTCAAAATCAAGGAGTGGCAAGTGTGTCTTAGCATTGCGTTCGTGTGACCTTGCCTCCTGACCTCAAGGTGCAAAGAAGAGGCCAAAGCCCAAGGGCAGTAGAAGCCTGTTCCGCTCCCCTGGCCAGCATAATTGCCAACACAAGTCTGACACAGCGACCAGATGGACAGCCAGCCGTGGGGATGTTTAAGAAAATGATGCTCGCCGTTTCCAATCAGGAGTCGCAATAATTGCCAACCTGTGAGAAATCGCGTCGTGAGTCACCCTATTGAATCATGAATGTTATTCAGGAGAATTCAACATTCAAGGATAATCAAGGCAGTAGCCTCAGTATGGGCGACCAGTGTTCTGAAAGGGCAAATTACATCATTCTTCTTGCAGAGGTTGCGGAGGCTTGGGGCTTGCCTGCATATGGCTTGATTGGCACCGCCTGCGAGGCTTGGTTTCACCAGACTTTGCTTCGATGCTTGCACAAAAACCAAAATAATGAACAGTAGAACCACCAACTACCACCCAAACGAACGTTTAGCAAAGGCACTCCTGTTCAAAGGAATTAGCTGAGCTCAGATTCGCAAGGCACGCTTTGAGAGATGCAGTCCATAGCCAAACACCCCCAGCATCGTACAGTGTGAGTGAGACCACCATGGCCATTGAGGTACCGCTTCAAAACCCATGGTTTCGCACAGCAATCGTAGTAGCAACACAAGCACGAGCAGCAGCAGCAGCACCACCAGCACCAGCACCAGCAGCAACAGCA